CTTAACAACATTACTAAAAGTATGTGCCGTCAGCTCAAACGAATTTGCGTCATCTCTCAGAGAAATCAATGCCGTTTCGCGCAAAATATTCTCAGCTTCCTTTAAGCCAAATTTGAGCATACTTACCGCATTATAGCTGCTCAACGAAGCCTATATAGCAGTTTGCTGCTTTGCAAACACGAATTTGGACGCGATGTATAGACGGCCTTTGAGAACATCAACCGTGCAGGAGCGCAAGGACCTGTGCACAGGCAAACAGTGTTTCGGTTCTTTGCTGAGTTTCGCGCCGGCTACACCAACTTCTACGACCACCTCTGCTCCGGATGCCCACGCAAAGTTTGTCGAGAGACGGCCATCGAAGCAAACCAGGGGATCCGACTTTGACTATAGAGCGGCCGGCCGACGATTGTGACTGTGGTCATGCGACAATTAGCAGAATATCGAAGGCAACATGCATAGTGGAAAAAGGGTAGACGAATTCGCTGAAATCTCATCTTTTTTTGAGACAACGAAAGGCTGCATGTCTCCATATCGACAAAGAGGAAGTTGATCCATGGCATCGACTGTTTTTGAAACCTCGCAATAGACATTCGATTTAAATTTTTAAGAATGATTTAAGCCTCACAAGAGGTTTTGACGCCACTTCTATACGCGGGTGTTTTGGAGGTCTCCCCTCATCGGTAGCTTACGCCCTACATTAAGCCCTACATTACATTGAAGGGGAGGCGTATGTGATGATAACAGAGGGGGCGAGACCTCCGAAATACGCGTGTATAGCTCTGGCGTACCAACCTCGCAAAAGGCCTTAAACATTGTTGAAATTTATATTGATTGTTTATTGCAAGCTTTTGGAAACAGTCGATGCATGGATCAATTTTATACCTACCAACCGTGATCCATCGACTGAAAAGTGGTGATAGAACAACGTCAATGTATATTGTGCTATCGCTGCTTTTACTGTAATTCGAAACTTCTCTCGGACATTGTTTTCAGAGTCTACCGATTCGGATTTAAAGGACATGAGAGTATTCAGATGGACGTCGTCTTTCAAAGCAATTTATATAGCTGGACTGCGACATTATTGAATGGAGAAAATATTTCATTTCGAACTGGGTGATGTTGTCTATTCGTCTCAGCCGTCTTGTAAGTTACAATATGTGATGTGGAGCGTATAATTTTACGTACATCCTAAATAAATGTTGCCAGTACAATGTACTGATTGTTGAATTTTGAAATATATATATGTGACCTTTTAGCATGGGTACATGACACGTACACAGATGGTGGATAGGGTAACTAATGGCGAACCAAAAGCGGCCGTTTACGGTTATGTAGGTTGATTCAGGCGGTATTTCCCTGTTTCTGCAGCGGCGATGTGAATGGCCTCTTTTTCTACAAAGTTGGTCAAAAGCCTATCGTGAAGAGGTTGGGAAGTAAATGGGTATACACGTATATAGCTTAGCAAGCTATGCGTTGGGATTAAAACTTAAAAACACTGACAAAACTAGGCCTCACTTCCCCAAATTCGAAAGTGGCCATAAAGCAGCTTTAGGTACGTGAAGCACAAATAGGCGCCTAAAATCTCAAGACCAAACTAGGTTGTCGAAATTGGAACAAGATAATTAGTTGTTTTTTCTCGTCTCAGCAAGGTCGATGACATCGTACATCACTTTTGCTTGCGCTATAGATCTTCTATAGAATATTCGGGTGCACGTGTACAAAAACAAGTAACAGCCAGATGAACAGATGTTGATCAATGCGAATTTGACAATCTTTGTTGTTCACGCAAACAATATCAAGCTGTATCGAAATCAAAATCTACGCGTTCAATATGGCCCTTGAAAAAAATCTTAGTAAATCGAAAATCCTGCCTAACCGATGTCGCTGTTGTTCCTAACGTTTACACAGATCACATCAACGTCCCCGTCGCACAACTTTTTATTTTTTTGCAAAAGTTAAACGAGAAAGCTACTAAATCTGAACAACAAAATCCTAGAACCATCATGAATTTGGATGTATCTAGATCATCAGTCGATTCCTGGGAACATACCTTTTTCAACAACATTAACGCGATACAGTTGACTCATTAGGCACTTTCACGTTATCACTATGAAAGCGGAGAGTTCTAAAGTGAGTAACAAACGCTAATCTCCGCAAACACTAATGCTGATATGTCAACGTGGAATCGCACAAGCTACAATCAACCGAAACCTCACGTTTAAACCTTTGAAAGGCCACAGTAGGGCGATAAAGGAAAATCTCAAAAAGTCAAAAACAGCGGATATGACCGAACCTGCAAAAGATAAGGAGGGCATCCGCAAGGCCCACAGTAAGTTCGCCATCTAATAGGTTCTCTGAGAATCTCGTGCCTCTTCAATCTTTCAACACAACTTTTGCAATGAAATTGCATGATTTTGGTATGGTTCGATTGCTAATTTTCCCGAGAATTTTGATGTAGCACTTGCCTACACTTGCTTTGAAATGAGGCTGTCCTGAAAATAAATTTGCAGGTTGCTTATACCACTATAGCGCGTAGGGAAAATGGCGTACCGCTTCAATAAAATTTTCTCTTAAGTGCCATTCGTGAGCAAGTAGCGAGCGAATTCGTTCCAAGACAGCTACATCTCTGATCAAGTATAGGCAAACTGCACACTCAAATGTTCACAAGGAAATGGCAATTTAATGATACCAAATCATGTAATTTCATTGCAAAAATCACATGAAGAACAAAAACGGCGCGATTTTCTTCAAACTATCACCCAACCGAAATGATTGCACTCCAACGGCCTGAAGGGAAAGTTATAGTCTTGAGAAAGGCGGTGGAAAAGATTTTCATAATCAATAGTTCATGATTTATGTTTCAAAATTTTTGTTCATTCACCAATTGCAAAGCTACGACCACTGTCAACCAGCGTGACATGGCTTCGCGAAAAATTTGTAAATATTCCTACGTATTCAAATGATAAAGTAAAACTGCATGTATATACCAAAATCTCCTTGTTACTAGTTTCATAAGCACACTCTTATTGTGAGATGGAATTTCTTCGGAGATGTACTTATCTTTGAAAAACTTGGTTCTGGAATTCTTTATGGGCAGTAAAAATACTTGGCGCACTTATTTTTTCTACTGGGGCGTGTTGTCTCTGTGTACCCATATCAGCGCCTACTTCCGTGGGAACAGAAAAGGAGCGGTTTGTAATTTCTTTTGTTCGGTTACTAGAAAGGAAAGAGGAAAGCAAAAACCATAGAGACTTGGAAGAGGCGTCTTTTTGAGCACCAAAATTCTATTCCTTCCTGCTAAACGGGAGGAAACGATTGAAGGATCCTTTCTGCTAGACAGAAATTTTTCATAAGAGTGATAGTAATTATTAGAAAGCTTAAATCTTGGGCTACTGTATCAGGTGCTTGTTTTCTGAAAACGCCTTTTATAGCACTGCAGCGTTTGAAGTTACATTATGTTCCACACTCGTCATGTGCTTTGATTTTATCGCAATTATAATTCGCTAAAAGCTAGAAACAAAAGCATGTAAGCGCGTAGAAGACACCTTCGAATACCGAATTATACGTATCATATGGACTTTTTTGAACAAAGAAAAGTTCTCAACTCATTATCAAAATCGCACTCCACATGTAAGTCAAGCTAACGCGATTAACTGGTCGCGTTTCGATCCATCACTAGCACACATACTAGCCAATATGCAAATGCGCAGCATATGTATAACTCTGTTTGATTTCAATTGCTACACTTCAGTGAAACGGTTTTTTGATGAGTAAGCGCTTGGTTGAGGTCACCGAAAACTTTTGATGTTAAATAGTTACATGCGTTTCATAAAGAAGATTTCTGTCTTGCGAAATGCACGCGTGTGTGAAACACGAGATTTGATGTTGTCTATAGCGTTACAAAAAAGTCTTTTCAAAAAGCAGGCACGTTTTTGAATTCTATCAGGTTTTACTATCGAACAAATACGAGCAATCTAAGGAAAGAGTTCTGTAGAGCTAAGTATAAGCGTGATAAATAAGGAAGGAGGAATTTCGTGCACAGCAAGATTTCATTTTGAATGCTCAAGCGCTGTAAAGAGTAGTTTTGAAAAACAATCGCTAGTGCACTAGCCCGAGATTTAAGCCTTTGAATGGTTACTAACACTCTTGCGAAAACGTCCTACCCAGCGACACGGATCGATTTTACATTTCCTCTCCCCTAACAGAAGAGGACTCTATGTTCTAAGAATTGGTCACTTGCGATTGTAACGCTATGACATCCATTCCCATCGATACATTAGTAATTCATTGGTTACAACAGAGCCCTTTCTGTAAGTCTTCTTCTGCATTAGTTTCAACCTTTTCGCAGTAATCTGATGAGCATTACGAAATTTCAAATTCTTCTTTTTTAACGTTGTTGTTTTTTCACGTAAAGAACTTGAGTGCTACAACAAATTAATCAAATCGACGCTTTTATCTTCCAAAACAGACATTACCCATTGTTATTTTCCATCGAAAATGGTATTTCAAATACAATAGCAACTGCGCGAATTGAGCATCGCCCGGCCTATCCCGATGATCACTAATCCAAAAAATGCCGCAAGTATTGCGATTAAGTTAGACCTTACAATTTTGAACAACCTCGTCAATTTTTAGAAGAATTGAGCTCTATGAAAACGCAAAACAAAAGGCTAGTAATATCGAGTAAGGAATAAGTAATCTATATATGTATCTATATACATATATACGTATAATATTATATATATATATATACACGTATATATATAAAACAGGGAGTAAGGAATATAAATATTGTATGTATTATGCATATTATATATATATGAATAATATATATATAACCCAATAATGTGGAGTACTGTGCAAAACATTTGTGTTAGCCGGGATTCGGACCCAGATCTCACTCTTTCCGATAATGCAGATAGCGGCTGCCCGCTAGACCGTCGACGGTTGGCTGTTGACAGATAACGCGTTGAGGCGTAAAAGAGTGCTGGGCAAAACGAGCGTCGGTGGTGCAACGGTTTAGCACACGCTCCCAAAAGGAGTGAGATCTGGATTCGAATCCCGGTAGACGCAAGTGTTTCTGCACAGCACTTCGCATTATCGGGTATATTATTGGACCATAACACCGCAAGAAACCGTCAAATAAATGAATTCCAATTGATTATATATACATACTTACATATATATATATATATATATATATATATATACATAAATATAAGGGAGCCAGAGAAGAGCTGCTAATTTTCTCATGTTTGAACAGCAATGAGATACTGCACAAAAAGGCAATTTATCCGACTGAAAAAATATTTACGATCAGGAACTTTAACATTAAGAAAAAATTTGATAAGGAATTTTCAAAAATGACTAATTTCGTCTCTATACATTTGAGGTGTCGCTTGCGGGAATTCTCAACGATGTTCGCACACGTTTCCACCGTAATTTCGTTCCAAGCGTGCGAAACCGTTTTCGGCTCTTCTCCACTAGTGCAGCGAGTAACCGTCTGTTCTCTCCAATAAATACTACACGGATTAATCCATTGGGTTGAGATCCTACAAGTTTGGCAGCCAGCTGTCCTTGCGCTAAAACTCTGGAAATACATCTCGTCTCCAGTAAGCGTCACAAAATTCGCTGTCTGTAGCTAGCAGTGTCGACGTTAACTTTTCTGCTGGTGTAGGTCAACGACGTTTTTCCGGTTACGTAAATGCTGTCCTAGATCATCACAGAGACCGAAAAACGACTGCAGATATGGTTTTGATGATGTAAACTTCTGCTGAGCCTTCTTGAAGGCTTGACGTCGAGTCTAGCAATTGTGGAGTGCTTTGACCGTGAATATCGTCTCATCCGTATAAAGCACATTCGACGAACAAGCACAAGCTATTGAACGAATCAATCGGCCATCCTTGAAAGCCATTTTTTCCCGAGACCGACTATCTACTAACCTCGGCATAGTTTGAATAAATAAATAGTTTCTTGTGTTTAGCCGTTCCGAGGTGTTATTGATATTATTCATTGAATATTATCGAAACATACAACAATACAGTTAGTAATACAGCTTGAATACACAATATTCAAGGTGGCTAACGTTTCGGCGGGTCGCTTCGTTAGAGACTTGAAAGATCACATTGATGCACAATCCACTAAGCCAAAACCTCCATAACCCTAGCAGAAAACGTTGAAAATGAGTTTTGGATCGCATAGTAAAAGCTTCATTTTAGAACACTCACCGTTTTGATGTTCGGGTCTATCAATCATTAACTGAAGACCAGTCGCTTGAGGTCAGTTCATCAGTGAGCTGTGCTTAACTCGGGACGGATAAATCAGCCTGAAGTATGGTTCGAGGTCACGCGTTATTACGAGGCACTCCTCTTTTCGGTTCATTTTCGGGCCTTTGTTATGTATCCAAAAGGCTTCTAATGTTTTACGTGCAGTTGTTCTTGAATCCTGGGCGAGGATCGTGAATTTGACACCGAACATTACTCTCGCATGCTTCTGGTCCCTATGCGTGCTTAGTGGAGCTTTTGGATCACACTAGCGTAACCCAGCTAGGTGCTCTTTTACACGGAGGAATAGTGGCCTACCCGTTTTGCCAATATACTCATCACCGCATGCCTCGCAAGAGATGATGTAAATTATACCAGATCGCTTTCCGGAGGCGCCTGGTATCCTCTAAACTACTGGCACTCGTTCTGCCACCACTCTTTTTTGCAACGCTATTGTGATGTTGGCAGGAAAGCAAGATGGCAGAAGAGACCTGGTGATGGATGCAATGATCAGTACGCGCCCCAGGAAATAGAGTGCGAGTTTGGATTTCATCCGACGTTCAAAGGTTTGCTTAACACTTAACACTCACACACCCTAACACTCAACATTACTGGGTATGTATTTGTAACTCATACCACCGCTAAGAACGGTTGAATAAAAGAAATTTCATTTAAGAACTGATTATGATTACTGATTCACTTATGCTGTGATAACTTCTGCCTTAGGACACCAACAATGATCGTATTACCGTGGAATGGTGCAACACTCCCGAAGGAGCGGCAAAGCAGTTCAGGCGCGAATGGTTCCAGGGAGATGGTATGGTCCGCAGAAAGAACTTCCAATCGAGTACAATCCATGATTGGTCGACTCCAATAAAAATGTTTAAGTGAATATTTTGCCGGTGAACATGTGTACAGCTCAATTTACTTGAGAAAAGAGAGCAAAGAAAAACATGATCATGAAACGGTCAATTCTAAAATTGAAGTCAAAGTCAAAGTCAAATCGAGGTCTTATAAGGAATATAAACACAATGGACGGATCCATTGATAGGAAAGTGTGTTGTGTTATTCATCCAACAAGCATGAGTTTTAAAATTGGAAATGTGTCAAAATTTTTTGGTGATCAAAAGAAGGCACAAAATTTCTTTGGAATGAGGTAATTTTTGGCTGACATTTCAAAGGGTTTCGTCTTCCTCGAAGCAGGCTAATCTCAGCCGATTCTCCACAGTCATTCGTTCTCGTTGTGATGTTTGTGTTCGTTCATTCGAGTTGGATCTTCTTCTAACGAACACCGCTGAAACAAGGCTTACTCAGCAATGCTCCTCCTATGCAGAAAAAAAATGCCGATGAAAACAAATACACGCTGCTTTACTTTGCCTTTTAGCATGTATTCCATTCTGCAGCAGTCCTTATGATTGATCGCTGGTACATAGCGTTATAATAATTGGAGAACCGATTTCCTTCTACTTCGACATTACAAATCAGTCACATAATTTTTAGATCAAGAGAAAGCATGAAGTTGTATAGAAGAGACTTATTCATTCGGGTTAACGTATCGTAGCAGATTCTCCACAATCGTTCGCCCTCGTCGTCGTGTTTGACTTTGGTGTCATTCGAGCCAAATGTTCGAAAGTAGCACTGCTCAAATGAAAACCCACACGGCAATGCTCTTCCTATCAGCAGGCTTACATTATCACTTCTGTTGCGCTGTAGCAGGAAAATTAAAACTACGTTCCACACTCGGCGCACATGTTTCGCTCTGTGGATGACCATTCATCAAGAATTCATTGACTATTTGATGACATAAATCGTGGAAATTTTAAAACTAGGTCTGTTTTGAGAAAGGGCTTCATTTAGTGCTGTAAGATCGTAAAGAATATCACGTTTACCCTTAAAGTTTTCTTCGCGTTCAAGAGTTATCTAAGTGGCAAGGCATATGAGCATGTAGAGAATGTCATGTAGTATCAGAGTAACACCAAAAAGCCGGAATTCTCTTCAAAAACGAAAAGAACTATAATTGAATAACGGAAATTGCGCCACTCTCTCGGTCAGTGGCCGTCTCTACCACGCAAAAAGATAACTGAACACATTTTGATCTTGCATTGGAATAGTAATTAATGCCTCAGTTGGCCTTTATCAACACCATACAAGTTTTTTTTACTTTCGATTTTGACTACTTAAAACCTTATAAGAAAGCGGCTGCTGTGGAACTGTTGATCCTATCTAGTTCAAACTTCACTGTATAATAAAAGTAAGAGCGATAAACCTAAACAGTTACTGTGAAGCTGGTGCAACAGCTGAACGACTTTTATATATGAATAGTTTCTTCCGTTTAACCGTTTCGAGGTGTTATTGATTTTATTTATTGAATATTAGCGAAGCATACAGCAATACAGTCAGTATTGCAGCTTGGCTATTACAATATTTGAGGTGGCTAACGTTTCGGCGGATCGCCTTCGTCAGAACCGTTTTGATGTTTGAGTTTATCAAATATTAACTGAAGAACAGCCGCTTAAGGTCAGTGCATGGGGCCGTGTCTAACTGGGGCCGAAAAAATCAGCCCGAGGTATGGTTCGAGGTCACGCGTGATTACGAGGCACTCCTCTTTTCGGTTCATTTTCGGGCCTTTGTCATGTATCCAAAAGGCTTCTAATGTTTTACGCGCAGATGTTCTTGATTCCTGTGCGAGGTTCGTGAATTTGACGCCGAACATTACTCCACTATGCGATCCAAAACACATTTCTAACGTTTTCCTGTTAGGGTTATGGAGGTCTTTGGCTTAGTGGACTGTGGATCAATGTGATCTTTCCAGGCTCTGGTGAAGGCGACCCGCCGAAACGTTAGCCACCTCGAATATTCTGTATTCAAGGTGCATTATTAACTATATTGCTGTATGCTTCGCTAATATTCAATAAATAATATCAATAACACCTCGGAACGGCTAAACACAAGAAACTATTCATTTATTTAGAATGAAATTTCTTCTAAATTTAGACATTGGCCTTTACACTAAATGTTCACTACTGAAATTCTAGTAATCATTCGATAGCTTGAAACCAAAAGATGAGTTTCTCTTCGGGGGCATTTCTTTTCGACTAGGGTTGTGTATCGACGACGCGATCGAATCATCGCTCAGCTGCATTCACATGAGGCCTGGCGAACGAATTTGTTTGGCAATATGGAATGAATATAAAAAATCTAAGCTTGCAGAACAATAGGAAAAAGGTAGATAGCATATCAATGATAAGGTTCTTGCTTGTGTAGTTTTAGCGAGATTAACGCTAATGCTTCACAAAATCTTGCCTCTTTCATGAAAATAGAAACCACACCCTTGCAAAAAAGAAGCATATTTCGAAAATTTCTGATCCTAATTCTAAGCTTGTTGTTTGAAAATATAATGAATATAAGATTAGGTCTTTCAATCGCAAACCAGTTTTTCTAATTCTAATCGGATTTTTGGAATTATATAGTTAGATTTCGTTTCTAGTAAACTTTGCCTAACAGAAACTTTAAGCATCTTCATTGCAACGTTTATAAACGTATTTTTGAAATTAATAACGCCCGAATGTCTCAAAAACCTAACTTTCGCCACACGAAATCCCATTTTGAGGCTGTGCTCGTAAACCCTTGGTTCTTTGTAGTAAAGACCTAATCTACGACATTACTAGTATTTCTTCTTTGGCCGAAATTAAGTAGATTTGAATTATGTATTTTGTCTTCTAAATGGATTTTTTGCCTGCAACATTCGAAATAAAATTTTGATTCACATTTTGGAATTTCTCGCCTGACAAAGTTTTTTCTATAGAGAAT